ATTTATGTCAAATGTGAAGCTTTTCGTCCATCGACGATGGACCTCTTCAGACAATATATGGAAACTGCAAATTATTTATATTTAAATAAATTAATTATTTATTATATTATTAATTAATATTTATTAATTATTTATATGTATATTTATATTTTTATAAGATGATTGTTTTGTAAAATTTTATTAGAATTATATATGTGATGAAATTATATATGAATTATATGTTATGTACATAATGTTACTATAATGGAATACAATAACAGTATTGTTTTTTGTTTTTATGAACCGTTAACTTATGTTAAATAATAATAATTTGCAGTTTCCATATATTGTCTGAAGAGGTCCATCGTCGATGGACGAAAAGCTTCACATTTGACATAAATAATCGTTTGAATAAATGTGGATTGATTTTTTAAAAAACAAATAACATCTTTTACTGTATTAGAACAATCCAAAAAAGTTAAAAATCTTTAATAAATAACTCAAAATTTCAAAAATAAGTTAAAGTTGAATAAATAAATTAAATTTAACTCAACCTAACCCAAATAAACTAAATTTAAGCTAACCTATCCTAACATAAATTAAACAAATTTAATCTCACCTAATCTAACATAAATAAATCAAATTTTTATAAATAAATTAAATTCAACTTAACCTAATTTAAATAAACTAAATTTAACCTAAGCCGCAATATACCTAAATTTACTAAATTAAATCTAACCTAAATAAACCAAATTTTAATGAATAAATCAAATTTAACTTAACCTAACTTAAATTTACTAAATTTAACCTAACCTAACCCAACATAAATGTTTTAAATTTACCGAACCTAACCCAAAAACCTTACCTAAATTAACTAAATTTAACGTAACCAAATTTAACATAACGTAACCTAATTATACCAAATTTAACATAACGTAACCTAATTATACCAAATTTAACCTAACTTAACATAATTAAATCAAATACATTAGCGCAATTTTTTCTGCTGACCGTAACAAATATCTTGACCCCGCCCCTCCCCCAAAAAAGCGTTACGTATTTTTTGAACGGCCCCTAATATAAATAAATTAAAATTTGATTAATAAATTAAATTTAACTTAACTTAACCCAAATAAACTTAATTTAACCTAAACTAACCTAGAAAAACTAAATTTATCCTAAACCAACATAAATAAACCAAATTTAACCTTACCTAACCTACATAAACGAAATTTAACATAAATAAATAAAATTTAACTTAACCTAACCTTAATTTACTCAATTTAACATAACCTCAACCAACATAAATGTTTTAAATTTACTTAACCTACACTGTAAAAAATGCCAGAATATAATAACATAGATCGTTTAATTTTACACTTTGGATAACCAATGGGAAGTAGTAAATTTACAATGTCCGAAAAGGTAACATAACCTTCATTGGATTATTTTACACGGTGGCACAGTGTAATTCGCATAAATTTCACGACATTTGAAAAAAAGTGTAAAATTACACCGTCCGACGGTGGAAAAAAGTGACTACCCGTTCGAAGGGTTTATTAATAACGTATTGTAAATTAACATAACCTCGATAAATTTAACAGTGGTGGGTTTTTTTACTCCATGTTGTTGGTTATAGCGCAAAGCATCTGCGCAGATTGCACTAAATAATGACGGAACCGTAGACGCTATACTTTTCATAATTGTGCGAAGTTCACTTGTGTTCACTTACTTTTGTGCTGTCATGTGTTGAAAAGGTAAGACATTTAATTTAAATTATTATTTTATATTATTTTGCAATATGTATTCTATATTTTTTGTAATGTTTAAATTAAAAAATTAATCTATTCGTATTTAATTTTTAATAATGTCTTTTTTTCTTGATAATGCATATAAGTTTCTAATATTTCTAATTCTATTTCATTTTATTTATTTGAACATTTCAAAATTTATTGATATATACATATAGACATCTATATTAGTAATATATGTTGCAGTTGCAAGATTGTCGTCAACTTATTCAACATTGAACGATGTTAATTTATAATTTTAAAGGATAGAACGAAAATCCTGTAACTCCTTTCTTTCGAAAATGTTTCCTTGCAGTTTTTGTAATTTAAAGTTATCGACACTTTTTCTCTATAACAGACACCAACTTTGTCATTCAAAAGAAAAAGATGCTTCGTTTACTTGTTTAAATAATAATTGCGGCAAAAAATTTGTATCGTATGTTCAATTTAGACGTCATAACTGGCGAATGCATGAAAATTTAAAACTAACGCAAACATCAAATTTTAGATATAATTGCAGACAAAGTAATTACACTTTTAAAAGTTATAATCTTAATTTTCTAAAGGCACACTTGCTGCGACATTTCAATATAGTAGGTACTGAAGTTTTTTGTCCCCTCCCGAAATGCAAAAATTCTATGAAAATATTTAAAACTAAAAATGCTTATCAGATACATTTAACTAGATGTCATGAATTGTCTCGTAATACAACAGTTATTGATGAGAGTTGTAACGAATTTTTTAGTAATGTACCAGTAACTCATGACTCTTTGATTGAATCATATCACTCTAATGAAAATTCTAATCTTGAAAGCGTTAATGTAAACATGAATTTCAGTCAAATTGTTTCAGATTTAAACACATTGCCCTCAAATGATATTAATCCTGATGAAAGTGATCGTGTAAACATGAATTCCAATGAAATTCTTTCATATTTAAACACATTGCCCTCAAACGATATTAATCCTAATGAAAGCGATAATGTAAACATGAATTCCAGTCAAATTGTTTCAGATTTAAACACATTGCCCTCAAATGATATTAATCCTGATGAAAGTGATCGTGTAAACATGAATTCCAATGAAATTCTTTCAGATTTAAACATATTGCCCTCAAATTATTTTAATACTAATGAATCCTTAACTGCAGATACATTACAAGATTACCGACCTGATACAGACGTGACTAACAATTTAGGTACTTTTTACGCAACATTATTTGCAAAACATTTTGTATCAGAAACTGTTATTCAGGCAATTGTTAAAGCGATATCCACTAACTTACATACATGTTCCACAGAATTCACTTCTGCAATAGATAATAGTAACCTTTCATCTGAAAATAAAGAAGAAATAAAAAAAATATTCCGCGATAGTTTTGATGGTTTTACTAACGCACATCATGAAAAAAACGGCCTTCTTAGAAATCCCTTTATCCGGAAAAAATTTTATAATACAAAATTTCCAATTGTAAACCCAATAGAAGTAGAACTTTCTTCTAGCAGGAATAAGAGATTTTCTTATAGTTATGTTCCGATATTAAAAACTTTGCATAATTTGTTGGAAAATGAAAGTGTGCGCAATTTTGTTAAAAATCCTACATTATCTAAAGAAAAAAATGGATTTTACGACTTTCATGACGGAGAAGTTTTTAAAAAGAATAATTTTTTCAAAGACGGAGTTTTACAAATAATTCTTTTTCAAGACGCTTTCGAAGTTTGCAACCCGTTAGGCTCAGCAAAATCTAAATATAAGATAGTCGGTGTATACATGATGTTAGGAAATTTACCACCATATCTTAGATCGAAAAGTGAAAACATTAAACTTGTAGCCTTATGTAGGGAAACTTTAGTGAAAAAATTTGGTTGGAGAAAATTTCTAGAAAGGCTTATTGCTGACTTAAAAATTCTTGAAACAACTGGCCTGAAAATGTTAATCGATGGGATTGAAGAAACTTTTCTGGGAAGCTTACTTTTTATGGTTGGGGACAATTTAGGGAGTAATGATATAGGTGAGTTTACTACAAATTTTAGTAAGTCTTTATATTTTTGTCGTTTCTGCCTCATTACAAGACGTCAGATACTAAGCAACGATTATAAGGTTAAAAGAATAAGAAGTTGTTCACACTACAACGCTTGTACAAAGAAAGTAACAAAAAAAATGAGTTTTGGAATATGGAGAAATTCGACTTTGAATTCATTACAACATTATCACGTTTGCTCTCCCGGTTTGCCTCCTTGCCTTGGCCACGACATATTTGAGGGAATTGCTCCTTATGATTTGTTTTTTGCAATTAAATATTTTATAAAAAATAAATGGATAAAACTTGATGAATTAAATTCCAACTTACAATCAATAAAACTTTCAACAAATTCAATGAGCGATAAAGTACCCATAAATAATTAACCTCAAAAAGTTTAAAATAAGTGGAAGCGCTAGTGAAATAAGGAAATTGTTGCTTTTATTTCCTATAGCAATGTGCCATGTTATAAAAGATGCTAATGATGAAGTATGGAAAATGGTGCTAAGATTAAGGGAAATATGTTCGTTTGCATGTGCTCCTGCTTTATCACACGGTCAACTGGCATTATTTAATTCAAGCATCCACGAATATTTACAATTAAGAATAAAATGTTTTCCAAATGTTTCTTTACGACCCAAGCATCATTATATTGCTCATTATCCTGATCTGGTTGAGCAAGTTGGTCCGCTGAAACATTTATGGACTTTACGTTTTGAAAGTGTTCACAGGTTTTATAAAATCCATTTGAAGCATGCAAAAAACTTCAAAAATGCGACCCGAATGTTAGCTGAAAAACGACAACTCTTAGAATCCCTAAATACATTTGAAGATTCATTTGTAATTCTGAACAAAAGTGAAAAATATGATAAAAAAATCTTTAGAAAAATCTGCCCCTTCTCACATTACCAAAATCATTAATGAAAATAAAAGTATGTTTTTTTATGTGGCAACAAGTGTGACCTTCAGAGGAATATGTTATAAACAAAATGATTGCTTATGCATTGGAATGTCAGAACTTGGAAATTTTAATCTATGCAGAATAGAACAAATCTTTGTTAACTATAATAAAGATAAAATAAACTTTTTCGGAAAACAATTTGAAATTATTCAAAATGACGAAATTGGTGTTTTTGAAATATGTAATAATATGAAAAAAGATTGTCAAACTTCAAATCTTTCGCTTTTTTCATACGATAAACTGCTTTCGCCTGATCCATTTCCTGAAATTGTAATCCAAAACCTTTCCTACATTCGTTCCTAAATATGAACCATTTAATCCGGATATATAAAATTATTGTAAGTATAGATTTGAAAAAAGAACTAACAATCTTTCATTTCAATTTTCAATATTATTTTATATTAGTACTTCGCAAAAATAAGAAACAAACTTATTCACTCTTTTTATTTCAGATGCCAAAAGTTTATAAAATTTGGTCTCATAACCGAGCTCTCAACAAGGCTATATGTGTTTCCAATACAGACAACATTTTACATACGGTGATGGAAAAAGGGTCCAATAAATTAAATATTAAAGGCAAGACAATTGTTCTTGAGAAGGATGACACGGAAGTCGATGAAGACGAAATTATGGAAGCATTTCATGACGAAGGCGAAGTGTTCATCATTTTACAGGAGAACGAATTTTGGCAACCCACGAAAAATACAAATATCGAATTGATGACCGATATAATTAACAATGGATTTGAAGAATCTAATAATCATGAAATAAACCAGTTTCGAAATGAGGAAAAACTCGATAACCGCGACAATCAGAAATATAATGTTAAATTCAACACCCAGAATAAAAGTAGTGAAGGACATGCAGATGCGACAGTGAATAATAATAATTTTTCCGAAATCAATGATTTTTCTGTAAATAGAGAAGAGAACGAAACGACAGAAGGCGAAGAGCAAGAAACAAGAAATGAACAACGGAATACAGACGAAGTGGAAGAACCCAGAAATGAAGGACTCAATTCAAATGCTGAAGAAACGGTAGACAATGCACCTCAAAGTATAGAAAACCAATGGCTTAGTTTTAAAATCAGTTGGGAAGCAGTTAGCAAACATAAATTAAAAGAATTAGAAAGTAGTGAAAAATCAAAACGATTAATAGCGTACATGGTGAATGAAGCAGTCGATCAAATGAGAACAATCTCTACCACTATACCGTTCATGGCTTGCAATTTAGTTGCAAAGCAGTTAACGGACAAGTATCCAGCTATCTTTCAAGATAAAAATAGTGAGGGAAAAGTTATGGGTAGTGGATTTGTTACAATTGCGGAAAAGATAAAAAATAGAAATAAAAACTTGTCTAGAATTGATCATCCTAATTTGTCTGCAGCTTTAAGAATCACATCGAAAACAATAAGGAAGAAGCAAAGGGCTGAAGCTGGTTGCTCAAAATGGCAACCACAGCTGAAGCAATCGATTCACGTACTGGAAGGGAAAAGAGTGTTTATGCAAAAGTGGATAGATAAAGAAAATAAAAATAACAGCGACGAAGAAGTATCAGAAGGAAGTGAAAATGAGGCTGAGCACCTATTAAATTTGTTAACTGACCAACAAAAAAAAACAAAGTTGAAACAGATTTCTGTTTAACATATAGTTATCAAAGAAAATTTTTTAATTCAGCCTCCTAGTGCCAATGACATTAACGAAATGTGGCCAATTTTGTTGGAACCGGAATTTTTACTTTGGCAGTATCAAATTTTAATGGGGCATTCGATTGATAATTTGTGTATAAGATTTCAGGAATCGTCCAATAAAATTTTTGCATATGCGCACGCAAATAGATTGACAAATGTAAATGAAATCAGTGACGAAGAAGTTTTGAGGATAATTGGAAACGTTTTTAAAGAAAAAATTGATCTTATATTTTTAAAGTATCCGGTAAGAATACAATTGCTTTAATGATAGAATATTCATTATTAATAAATCCTAAAGTCTAATTTATTCAATAACAAAACTTATTTTTTTGCAGGAAGTAGAATCAGTCTTCGAATTGCAAATTCCTCCAAACGTTTTTGCTTGGGTTGCGTGTGTAGGTATGATATTCAATACTTTACTACAATTAAAAAAGATTTTTTATGAATGTCAATTTATATAAAATATATATATATATATAAATATGTATTCTTTACAGGTAACCAAGATCACTACTCATTCTTTCTTGAAAACAGATTGATTCGAACAGAACTTACATTTATGGAAACACTCAAGCTCTTATTTGCTTCCTATTTTGTTTTTAACAAAAATTTTCCAAAATCTAATTCAATAACATTTGATTTCATTCAACGCTATTTGCTTAGTATTGAGCCAATCAATGGAAACAAAGCATGGAACTCGAGTAAATCTAAGAATTTAGTTGCCAGCTTTGCAAACAAACTGGATCTTTTCCATGTTCCCGCCAATACAGAAGATTTTAATCCTGATACTAATTAATAAAATGTTGACGAAAATATGCAACAAATATTATTGGAACATCAATTAGTTGATGTATGCCTTCTGTTTACGCATGCCAGGTAAATATCTATTTCTTAAAAAAATTAATCGTTTTTTCTATCCTACAAAAAAATTATATGATTCTGAATATGTTTAATGTTTCAGGATGTACAAATTATTGTTGACAAAGAGCAATTGCAGTTCTGCACTTTCCGCTAAAAGTAAGTCTTACTTGTAAAGATTTTTTAGGTTTCATTGATACATCGTTTTTTATTTATATTAAAAAGATGTATTTTAATAATGATTGGCGAAACATTTATTATACTATTTAAAATCTTTAAATTTTAATTTATTACTATATTAATTATGATAATATTCGTAGAAAAATGAATATTTAAAAAATGAAAAAATTAAATTTTTGGAAACTACATTAAAACTGCTATTTAAAGAAATTATATTGAAGTACCGTCAACCGGGGCTATTTTGTGCACCAAATAGCTTTTTTTTATTCAAAGATTTATTTAAATTCAGAATTAAGAGAATAAAGAAAATCAACTTTTGACATATGTTGTGGACATCCTTCTGAAGGTTTCCTATAAATTTTGCAAAGAAAAAAATTTTTTTGTCTTAGTTATAGTCATTGAAAGTCGTAAAAACAATAACTCCCGGGATGGGGCTATTTTGTGCATCGAACTTTGTTTTTCTATAATGTTGCGTAAACAATTTTTTTAATCGTTTCTGTTTCATAAAATCTTTTGTGTATATATTTGAGAGTAAATTAAAAAAAGAATGACCTAGTAAAAATTTTTTTGTAGATATATTATACAAAAAATGTAAAATAAAGCACTAAAATTTTGCTAAAATCTGGATTTACTAAAAATTAACAATCTTTCTTTAAATTGTATATTACGCAGATAGTAAATAAAATTTTTTTCTTTTTTAATATATATTTTATAATAATATACTAATATAATTATAAAATGATCGTTTAAACACTTATAAATAACTTTAAAACATCATTTCAATAGAAGCTTTTTTAATGGTTTTGAATGATATTTTTCAAAAACTTGAAATAAATATTTTTAAGGTTAAATAGATAACAATTTAATATCTAATATGATTTTTAAGTTATTTTAAGAGAAACGAGAAAATAGTTTTAAAACTAATTTGAAAAACTTATAAACATTAATTAATGTTCATTTTTTAAGGTTACGTTGTGCACCGGTAGAGCTTTTAATCGTTTTAATGATTTTAATTAACGTTTTTACAGTTTTTTAACAGAAAAGCAAGACAAAAATGTATAAAAATGATAAACAGAATCTTCTTTACTTACTAAATAAAATATTTATGAAAAATATTTGATTTTTTTAGGTGCACAAAATAGCCCCATGGAATCCTGGTTTTTCAGTTTTTTTCACTTTTCTCTTAAAATAATGAATAAAAAGTTAGCGCATTACGTATGTATCATCACAACACAATTAAAAACAAATATCTAACACAGTTTATGAGACACATTAAAACTCTAGAAGATCTGGTATAATTTTTCCGAACTTTCAAAATTTTTTAAACAAATTTTCCGTTTTTAGGAATATTTTCCTCTTAATTGCCAAAGAATTAAATAATAACATTTAGTGCTCTCTATTGTCATGTAATCAAACTTTCATTTTACAAAATAGCAGATTAAAATAATTCATTTTAATAATTTTTTTCATTAAAAAACTCGCGTGCACAAAATAGCCCCCGGATGCACAAAATAGCCCCAGTTGACGGTATCGAAATATCACAGCTAAAATAATGTTTTCAAAGAAGTATAACTAACGAGTTAAACTTATAAAAAGAAATTTAGTTTTACTAAAAAGTAAAATTAATTTTTATTACTTTTATTATATAAAAAAAATTCCACATATGTTGTATAATAATCTACTATTATATTTTATTTATTTTACAAATAATTTTTACAATTCTACTTTAAAGATATTTCACGACCTCCTAGAATCTAATTAAATTCAATTATATTTCTATTTATTAACTTGGTGAATTCTTATTTTCAGATTGGAACACAAATGGGAAGGATTTTCTCCAAAGTTTCCTACGCTTTTTGTTTTTCTTTATTTATTTCTACTAATTTTAATTTATATTTTATTGAAATAATATAAAATTTCAAAGTCAATTTTATGTAAAAAAAAGTGTATATTATTTTATTAAAATAATATAAAATTTAATAAAAGTTAATTTTTGTGTAAAAAATGTATTTCATATTTTATTCATTAAAAAGAAAAAAAATTAGTATAATTGATAAAAACTATCAAAACAATAAACAGCATTGATATAACCTATAGAAATAGAAATTTGTTACATTCAGGGTAATTCACATTCAGCATTGGTAATTTTACACGCCTCGGGTTTTTTTACTTTGAGGTTATAAAATAACACATAATTTAGGTTATATTACTACGTGGGCGTGGACGTGTAAAATTATTCTGGCATTTTTTACAGTGTAACCTAAATAAATCAAATTTTTATAAATAAATTTAATTTAACTTAACGTAACTTAAATAAACTAAATTTAACATAGCTCAACATAAATAAACCAAATTTAACATAACGTAACCTAATTATACCAAATTTAACCTAACCTAACAAATAAATCAAATTTTACTTAACCTAACCTCAATAAACTAAATGTAACCAAACTGAACCTAACCTAGCCTAATTTATAACTTGCTAAGAATTTAAAAATTATTGCTGGCAAAATGGTAAATTTAATAAGTCAAGTTATTTAATTTAATAATTAAATATTTACTTTCTTTTATTTTAACCCTTTAATGGCCAGTGGTACACATCCCTGGTTAAAAAACCGGACAGATTTCGGACTAATCCGAAATTTGTCTGAAACAGTGCGGTTTATGGTCAGGTTTTTGTCACCCGAAATTAATCCGAATAAATCCGAACTCTATACGGTTTGTGAACAACTAGTAAATCCGGAGTTGGTCCGATGAAGTTCAACATTAATCAGTTAATTTTAACTAGTGAATCCGGAATTAGTCCGAAACAGTACGATTTATTGTGGAGTTTTTCACCCTGAATTAAGTTTAAAATCAATACCGTTTTTTATAACTATTGAATCCGTAATTAGTCCGATTTAGTCCGAAGTTAGTCAGATTATATGCAACTAGTAAATGCAGAAGTAATCCGATTGGTTTAACCAGTGAATCCGCAGCTAATCCGAAACAGTCTGCTTATGGTCAGGTTTTCGTCACTCAGAATTAGTTCGGATAAATCCAAACTCAATAGGTTTGTGTATAACCAGTGAATCCGGAATTAGTGCGATCTAGTCTGAAGTTAGTCTGGTAATACGCAACTTGCAAATAGTCCGATTAAGTCCGGAATTAATCTGGTTATGGTCAGGTATTTGTCATACGAAATTATAATTATAGTTTGAATTTATCTGACCAAAATCATTCCGGATTAAGTCTTTGAATTGGATGGAATATGGATTGTTTTGGACTGTCTGTGGACTGTATACATATATATTTACAAATTCCATATTATTATAAGACTTCTTTTCGGACTAGGGTGTTTTGATCGGATATTATTCGGATTGCCGCTGACTATTACCGGAATCTTTGCATACATATATTTCGGATTGTTTAGTATTTGTTTCGGATTATGCCTTTTAATTGGATTAAATCCGGATTATTTCAGACAATTTTCGGATACTTAGCATAATATAGATTTCGGATTGTTTCGGATTATGTCTTTCAATTGGATTAAATCTCAATCGTTGCAGACAATTTCTGAATTCGTTGCATACAGTTTTCGGATTGTTTCGTACTTGTTTCGGAATAAGATTTTGCAACACTTAATTTCAAATTGTTGCGGACAAATATCGGATTTCTTGCTTACAGAGTTCGGATTGCTTCGGACATTTTACGGATTAAGTTTTTTTAACTAGATTAAATTCGGATTGTTGCGGACTGATTCCGTATTCTTTACATATTGATTTCTGATAATTCCGTACTTATTTTAGAAGAATTCTTCACCGGTCATAAATTCGGATTGTTGCGGACTAATTACGGACTGAATTCGTAGACATTCAGAATTACTCCGGAGTGTTTTCGGATTCAGGTTTTCGTTCGGATTAATATCAGACTAACGCGGATCATTTTCGGACCTTTTTCGTACAATTTTCGGAATAATCCGTAATAATCTGTACGTATTTAATCCGGAATTAGTCCGAATTTTTTACCAAAGATACGTACTACCTACTTTAAAAAATCATAACTTTCTAAAAACTTAACGGATCAACTCCGCTAAGGTCTTATTTTAAAGGTATAAGCGAGAGTAACAAATACATATGAATGCCATATTCCAAAAAACTACTATTTATGAAATACACCTCTTCAAAAAACGCAAGAAATGACAAAAATTAAAAAAAGGTATATAAATTAAAAAAAATTTTTTTTTCGGTTTTCAAAGTAACATATGTTTTAAAATATTGTAAACTTTGTAAAAAAAAAAATAATAACAAAATTTTCTTCAAGGTAAACAAAATTAATTAAAACTACCCCAAAATAACGAAACAATTTAAAAATCTACCGAATTCGCCTAAAATTTGTTACTCGGGGATTTTTGGGGTCGCTGATTGAAAACTTTGATCAACAAGGGGTGGTTATTTGACCTTATGATTGTTTTTTAGAGGATAGTTTACATTTACTATCATTACCTATAGTCATCATAAAAATAATTTTTCGTATTTTCGAAACGTATAGAATCAATGAAAATTATTTTTTTAATTGTTCAAAACTATTGGCAGTATGTAAGAATAATTATGAAATAGGGGTGTGTTCCAAGAGGGGTGTTTAACATTATTATCCATTTTTGTGTCACTTAGAAGCATTTTTTTCATAATTTAGATGCATTTAGAATCTATAGATTTTTTTAAATATTCACAAAATGTATTATCGTCAAGGGGTGGCTATTTGATTTTGAGGGTGGTTTTCAAGTAGTTATTTATAATTATTTTTCATTTTTGAACAACCAGAGAATATTTATAAATAATTTAAAAGCAGACAGGAGCTAAAAAATATTTAATTTATCACTTAGATTAATTATCATTAATTATCATCACCTAACCATATTTTCACATCTTTGATTTCAAGTCCAAATGAAACTGAGAAATGAAAACTCATCTACAAGTGCGTGTCGTTAGTTTAGTGGTTAGAGCGTTAGTCTACAAGTCCATGGGTCGTTGGTTCGATTTCCCTCGTGCTCAATTTTGCTTATTTTAATAGTTTTGCGTTATTTCTTCTACTTTTATCCACGCAATTATAGAATAAAATAAAAAATAAAATAAAAATCTACAATATTTAATAAATAAAAAATTAAAGAAAACAAACAGAATTAAATTCTTTAATTATATTTCTTTAACAAGTAGGGTAAGGTGGGGCAATACTATTCCTGTTTGGATTTTTGAGTCTAAAAAGTGTATTTAAAAAAAAATGCTTAGAATTGTTTAAAAACTTGACTTCTTAGCTACAATTTTTCCATGTATTATTTTGCTGTAACTCGATTCTGTTCCGAACTACAGCGATTTTACGAAACCCTTGTTTTTTGATGTCGAAAAAACGAGGGTCAAAACTATTCCAGCAGCTATTAATGATATAATACTAAAAAAATTAATTTATTAATTGGAGGAGTTTTTCTCTTCCAATTTCTTATCATTCTAACCTAAAAACAAGCACACAAAAAAATACACTGTTTCGTAGTTTTCCCTGTCATCAGTGGGCGAATAGTTTCGCCCCAACCGCACATTTTTTGAAAAAACACTTGTAAAATTTTTGAACAATAGAATATCAAAAATCCATTATGATATTCGAGTTCAGCACTAAATTTGACTTTAGAAATAATTTTTCCGATAATTTTTCCGACCGTTTATCACTATTTACAATGGCAGACTAAATGAGTCAAAACAAGTAAGCGAGCATATCAAAATCACATTTGAGTACCTATCTCCTATGATAGTTGGCGCAAGAAGATCAAATGTGGCGTACAATGTTCATTTCACATGACAAGTATACAGTGTAAAAGGGGCTTTAATCGGATGAATACACTGAAAAAAAATTTAATTGAATCGAATAAAAATAAATTGACTTAATTAAATGGTTTAATTGTCTATTATCCAATAAATATTTATTTGAACCAAGTAAATATTTATTAGATCTGAGTATTTTATTTTATCGTATCAAATAAATATTTATTTGTACCAAATACGAATTACTTAAATAAAATGAATAGAATAATTGGATCCAATAAATATTAATTTAAATTAATTATGAACATTATTTAGTTCAATAATGCATGGTTTTTAATTCAAATAAATATTTATTTGCATCAATAAAATAATTTTTTTGAAGTAACCCAGGCGGAAATTTCCCACTGGCAGGGTACCGCGCCTGTACAGACGTCGGTAAGACTGTACTGGCATGAGTCCGCCTGACGACCGGAGCGGTGCAGGCATTCTACTGGAACCTGACAATGTGTTGTAGTGGCTGCGCGCCTGGCTCGGTACAGATTTGATGCCGCCGAACAACCGGCGTTGTACAGGCATTCGTCCGTCTGGCAACCAGGACGGGCCAAATTATATTCTCTATTGAAAAATAAAATAAAATATTTAATTAACTATGCATGGTGCATGTTAATTAACATTTATTTATAGATCATTTGAAGCATTTTTTACACATTTAACATTTTTTTACACATTAAAATTCTAAACGCTCGCAGTGAGATACGAAGCCCAAGCCTATCCTAATCTACGCACCGAAGTCTAATACGTTAACCACTACGCTATTCGCTCGCTTGCGGATGTAAGCAAAACAACGCCAATATACAATACCACTAAACAAAAACTTATATATAAAGTGAATAATAATTTTTACTCAAGTATTTTTCAATATTTTAGCATTTTATTTATATTATGCAAATAAATATAGTTTTATTATATTTTTTAATCTTCAATGATTTTAATATTTATCTTTATTTTATTATTTGAGAATAATTAGTTGAATACTTCACTTTATAACTATTCGAAATCAATACAAAATTAACCAAAATAAACATTTGTAACTTACTGCATTTCATTTATACTTTTATAACTATTTTAAAAAAAGAGAAAAAGATGAATGTAATTAATTTTGAAGGAAATAATAAATATTAAGTCACATTCACCTTGCATAGTTAATTAAACATTTCTTTTATTTTAATTTTTAATAAAGAATATAATTTGGCCCGCGCTGGTTGCTAGACGGACGAATGCCAGTACAACGCCGGGTGCTTGGCGGGTTAAAACCTGCACTGAGCCGGACGCATTTTGCAATAGAATGCCAGTACGAATGTACTTTCGACCCTTTAAAAATTATTAATACAAAAAATGTTTAAAGCATGATGGATTAAATTTATTATTATTAATTTTTATTATAAAAAATAGCAAAACTTGTCAGATTTTAAAAGATATTTGTGGTAAGATTTTTAAAAGTAAATATATAAAAAAAATTATCCTACACTGAGAAAACTGGAGAGTCAAATTCAGAGGTTAAAAAAGTGTATCTTTCCTTTGCTTATGAAGAGAGTTAAATAGTCCTTATAAAATAAATTTTGAATTGATAATAATGGAAATCTACTTGTATATTCTCTCCCATTATATCTGAGGGTTAAAAGTTGCGCAGAAAATGTGTACGATTTGATGCGCGCGAAATTATTTTTCTGACATTTTATGTATTTAATTTAGGGGTTAGGTTACCATATTTATTCATTTCGCGCCGGATAAGGAAGGGATTTCTCAAGGTAGTTAATTTGTCCCTCTGTTATAAACTCGATTTTCCCTCCAAGAGAAATGGCAAGAATATCTGTCAATGGTGTATTTGAACATTTAGATTGTTATCCAATAGCTAACTCTCAAATATCAACGATTTGTCCCTCCAGATGTTTAGTCCAATACTCCAGTTTTCTCAGTGTATATAAAAATAAAACTAATTTGAAAACTAGTAACAATTACTATATTCTATACTTATTCTTATTAACGAATTAATAATTTTTAATTTACTTATTTATTGATTTATTCCGTAAACTGGGGCTATTAGGAACAGATTTCAACTTTAAAGTCTTGCAACTTTTTTGTGTATTGAAATATTGCCTTAATTTTTTGTTTCTTTTCTTGATCTTGGCGAGCACATTAAAGGGTTAAATAATTGTCTTGATCAAAGCTGGAATTTTAAGCAAAAAAGACGAAAAAGACGCATTTTTTCGAAATTACAAAATGGGGCTATTAGGAACAAGGCGGTACAAACCGTTGGTAAACGTATTTAAAGTTAAAGAAGTTATTTTTTATTGCTCGAAAGTAAACACAGAATATAAAACAAATGTAAAAACAAAACTAAAAGAGCGAATGTGTGTTTTAAACGTTGCTGTATCATCAGTTGAGGTCGATGATGGAATCACTGGTCATTTTTTGTGACTTGTCGGTACCAACACTCTTTTACAATTTCGAATCATCTTTGAACACTAAAAACCAAATTAGGTGATAAAAAACAAAAGAAATTACGAAAAACTTACGTTCTGACAACACACTATAACAATTCGGAAGAAATAATTGTGTTCCTTATATACTCGCCATTTGTGAATTTTGGTTTTTGTTTCTAAAATCTTACTGTAAATACAAAATAAATGTATTTATTACTTAGTGAACTCAATAAAGTTTCCAATAAGAAATCCTACACTGTAAAAAAAGGGAGTTAAATTTTGACTCCCCAGGGGAGTCTATAAAAGTCGCACCCATTGGGGAGTTAATGCCAAGGGAGTTAAATAAAGAGAGTTAAAATTTAACACCCAAATGCTAACTCCCCATGGAAAAAATAACTCGCGCGGGTGTTGAATGAAGGGAGTTAGAAATTAACTCTCTTTTGGAGTTGATTTTTAACTCGAAAAATTTAACTCCCAACTCCCGAGTCCGTTAACTCCCTAAATTTTTTACAGTGTATTAATAAAAAACAATCACTTTGAGAAGTTAAAAATGAAACAACATACCTTAGCAATCAAATGTTTTCCACGTTTGAAACTTCACTAAAACACATTAAGTCACCGACAGATTAGCTCAGTCGGATAGATGCCTCGCTTGGCGGTCGTTCAAGGACCAAGGGTATAAGTACCCTTGGTTCGCGCCCATTTGGCTTGGTATTTTTCCGGCACGTGAGATAATCTGAGCGGGAGGTTTGACGTCGAGGTATAATGATTTGCACCGTCGATTATTGTCCGGTACACACCATTAGAACTCGACTGTCGATAAACCGGTTGTACTCAGGATAGGTTTTCTACAGTTTCCCTCTTCTCTGTCGAGAAAACCCATTGACGGTTGGTCCAGGCGGAATGCGAGTACTCCTAATAAAAGTCGGCTGTAGACGCAAATTAGGTTAATATATAGAAAATTTCATAAGTAGAATGGTTATGCTTAATCCAAAAAGTATTTCTCGGGGACTTTTGTCGAAGTTCGTAAGGCCAATAGGGCAGGAGTATAAACAATAAAAAAAACACACATTAAGTCACTTACAAGCTACTATTGTTCACAAAATAATTAATAATCACAATTATTGCATTGAAAAGTGTTGCCAGTTACCGCAGCAACAATTTTTCAAAAGCAAGTAACACAATTTATCGATAAACGGCGCCGATAGCATCAACTCCACCCGAAAACAGAATTTTGTTCTTAATAGCCCCGGTGTTTCTAATAGCCCCAGCTTACGGTTATAAATAAATAAAAAAGTAAGTAATATTGAATAAATCAAAACAAATTTATTTAATATTACTTATTTGTTTAGTTATTTATAATTTATTTATAGTAAATCAATAAATAAGTAAGTAAATTAAATTAATTAATATATTAATAATAGAAATAAACTATATAGTCCTCAGTCGGTAGAATGCCTGTACCACTTGGGTCGTTAGACGGACGAATGCCAGTGCAACGCCGGTTGCGAGGTGGTATAAATTTTTATCTGGCGGTCGGATAAAATCTTGTACCGCGCCTGTACTGCCGACAGTAGAAAGACTGTACCGAAAGTCGAATCAGACTTTGTACCGCGTCAGCAGACATTCTCATCCGAATCGGTACAGGCTGTCTGCACTGGCATTGACTCTCCAATTCAACCGGCGCGGATTCTATACTCTGTCCAACGAGAGAATAACCTCGATCGCGCAGTTTTTTTTTGCTTTTGGGGCGTTGAAAAACTTGAAAATGGCATCTCACTATTTTTTTCGCTAGAAAATAGCCAATGACAATCTTCTCAATCTCAGACTTTCCCGTTCGAACTCGGGCCCACACGACCCAAAGGGTAATTTATGACCTTCATACCTGAATGGGACTTTCAAATGGTAATGATTTTATATAAAGTGATACAGGTCACTAAATGGTAGGAAAAAAAACAAAACATTATTTTTCGTTCCCGTATTTTCTTGGCCGAGCCAATGTTTACTATCTTAAAGGAAAATTGTAATATCTTTTTTTTTTAGTTTCTTTTTAGATATCCTTTTGCAGTAATTTGTTTAAACCAAGCGTTTTTCGAAGCAATACTAGTAATTAACAATTTTAAATGTATTTTAGCGTATAATGATAAAGGGTTATTAGGTTATATTTTAATATGTATATTTTACACTATGTATTATATATATTATATATATATATATAGTTTAATATATAACATTTTATAATCTAATAATACCGTACATTATGACTTAGTTATTATTTTAGTTTTAATTAAAAGTTAAGTAAATTTAGTAAATTAGGAAAGGCTGAGTAATTTTATTTTTTAATTTTATTTTAAGAGAATTCTTTGAGATATAGGAAAAACTCGCGAGAAGACGCGCGACTTTGTCTCTGGCCCAAGCGAAACGAGTGAACCGTACGCGCATCGTTTTGAGTCAGAGATAGGAAGCGCAGACGCGAGCTGCCCTCTCTCTTAGAGAAGTTCTCCCACTGTACGTTTTGGGAAATGGCGATCGAGGGAGCTCGATGCACTGGACCAAAACGTCAGTTCTGTCCTGAGCTCACCTAGAGGTTGGTCTTCCTCCTCCGCTCAGCCTAACCACTACGTTATACTTATACTAAAATTCACAAAATTGTACTTAGAAAATTTTCACCCAAAATTGGACTTAGAAAATTTTCCGGGAAATTTGGACTTAGAAAATTTTCGAAGAAATTTGGACTTAGAAAATTTTCGAAGAAATTTGGACTTAGAATATTTTCGTCCAATTTTGAACTTATAATATTTTCACCCAATTTTGAACTTAGAATTAGAGTTGCATTCGAGCGAGAAATTACGATAAATAACCTAATCGATCCATACACTCGTTCAATTGTCATAATTTTATCGTATCGTCTCGTACCGTTTCAACAATCGCTCGTAAGAACGATCGAGCCTGAGAAATTTCCATTGTAAATGTTAAAATCTTCTAACGACATTTGTTTTAACCTTCCTATTTGACATTTATTATTATATGTACAAAATTTTTAATATTAATACAATTTTGCAGTTTAGAATTGGATTTTTTTGGTGATAAATGAATTAATAACCTATTTATTGAAAATATACAATAAACTTTAAGAAATTAAATGTAAAAAAAAACCTTTCTAACAAGAAAGTGTTTATAAATATAAAAATTATTTATTTACTTTTATAATGTAAATTAATTAAGTATATTTTTTAGTATTACTAAAATTTAATTTATTAATTGCAAAAATAGTGTATATAAAAATATAATAAAAATTATAATAAAATAACAATTATATTTAATTAAATTGGTATATGATTCTAATCAACACTTATGTTGCAGCAAGTGTAATAATTTAATAATATTTGATTTTTGAATAATTGTCGGATATTTCATTTTGATTAAGCGATTATATTGAAAAAAATAATAATAATTCATGCAGCAGAATTTTCAAATATAAACAACTTTATTATAAATTGACAAATAGGAGCCAGAACATTGCTCGAAACATTTTCGTTTAACTCTTTTCAATCAATGAATCAATTTTCAAAGTAAGAGAACAATTATTCCACGAATTAAGACTCATTAACTGGGTAATAGAATTATTTGATAAACGGTTCCTGTGCTTTCTAATGACAAGAGAACTGCGTGAAAATAGTCTTTCCGATGGAACTGATGTCGCACTTGTACATAAAAAGTCTCGAGACATTCTTGCAAGGTTTGGTAAGATTGTTGCATGTTTTTTCCACCATTCGAGGATGTCGGTATTTTTTCCAGCTCGTTTTTGAGAACAATAATAATCAATTTCCCATTTCCATTCAGGAGATTTCGAATTTTTTGGAATAGAAAAAACATCCTCTGATTCAGAATCTGACAAGAACAGAATGTCCATATCAAATTTGTCTTCAGTTTCTAAATTAGATTTATGAACTTTTGAAACTTCTTCTTCTCGCTCAAGAGTTACCTATTATTAATACATGAATTAATAAAAATTATTTTTTAAATTATTAAAAGTTACTAAAGGTGATATAAATTTTGTTGTTCAAGGATAAAATAAAAATAAAAACTTGAATTATATTTCTATAGCTAAAATAAATAGTTAAAGCAGTTAATTTTAAAAAAGTAAAACATTTAATAAAAAATGAAATTTTAAGAAAATAAACAATGTTTTATGTAAGTTATTTAAATGAAAATATTATTATTATTTATTATTTTATATTATTATTTTATATTATTATAAATTAATATTATTATTAATTATTTATTATATTTTAAATTAAAAATTTAAATTAAACTACTAAATCGAAATAAACTATATTTTTTTATTTAAGGTTAATTGTTTATCTACGTATAAAGTTAATATTCAAAAATACCTTTGTTTGGTAATATTGCGATTTATAAATCTGTTCAAATATTTTGATCGAGTTTTTAGCCATTTCTTTACCCCATTCTGTCAATTGAAATGTTTCAATTTTATGTCGAGGGTCTAAAATGAGAACAACGCAATATACCCAATGAAATTTTCTATAATGTTTTAAAAGTTTTTCAATAGCTGCTTCTAGAGCATCTAACAGAATTTCTTCTACATGCGTTCTGCCATCTTTCAAAATCAGGATATTTTTCGCAG